GGTTCGAAAGAGGATGAAGCTGGACTGTTCTCAGTGGCGGCAGAACAGAACAAGGAGCACTGGTCTCAAATTGCAGCAAGGGAAGCTTAAGTTATATATTAGGAAAAAACTTTCTTTCTATTAAAGCACTGGAACAGGCTACCCAGAGAGATTCTAGAATCGCCATCCTTTTAAGACCCAGCTAGACAAAGTCTTGGCTGAGATGATATAGTTGGGAATGGTCCTGCTGTGATCAGGAGGTTGGACTAGATGACTTCCTGATAAAAGTAGATGCTAATGCTGCTGCATGTATGAAAAGCCAACCTGCTACAGGAAATAAAGGAAATAATCTTTTACCCATGATTTTTAAGTGCCAAACAGCAGCCTGTTTGATGGACAACATGCAAGAATGTATAAACTGCCATTTACTAGGTCAGTCTTCAGGTCCATCTTGCCTAGTATCCTGTATCAAACAGTGGCAGAGAGTGGATGCTGAAAAGGGGCAAGAACAGGGTATGACCGGGTTTTTTCCTACTATTGCTCTCCCACGTGCAGCCTCTCATAGGGTGTCTAGGAAGTTCTGATTCTGAGGCTGTACCCCTACCTCTCCTGCCCAATGGCTACTAATTAACCTTTCCTTCAAGAATTTGTCCAATCCCTTTCTGAATCTGGCTAAACTATCAGCTTTCACATCTTGGGGCAATGAGTTCCACACTTAAATTGCACACAGCGTGAAAAAGAATTTCCTTTTGTTAGTTTTAAGCTTACTACCTACCAGTTTTATTTTATGACCCCTAGTTCTTGTATTGTGATAATAAATCCTTATTTACTTTCTCTTCACTACTTAGTACTTTGCAGTATTTGTATACAACATGGGGGTTTAAGTCTCCCTAAATTGAAGTGGTGGCTTTTTAAAAACACCGCTTCAATTTAGGGTGAAGTAAACCCCAGTGTCATGCACACCCATGTCAGAGCCCAATACTTACCTGCCTCTCCAGCGACGGGGAGTGGAAAGCAAGCTGCTGGCAGGCAGAGCGGTCCCTGAGCTGTGGTGTGGAGGGGCTGGTGCTTCCCTCCGTGGAAGCGGGAGCCCCCCCCCCGGCAGCACTCACCCGCAGGCACCCGGCTCAGGCAGTCTTGGGGGGCACTGTGCCTGTGGAGGGAAGCACCAGGGCCCCACGCAGCTCAGGCAGACAGTCTCTGGGGGGAAAAAAAAAGATCAGGCTCACCACTTTTTTTTTCCTTCTGTGGAGCCTGCCTTCCCAGGCTGTTGCCAGCTGCCTGCACAGTCTGCCTGTACAGCCCCTGAGCCACATGGCGCCCGGTGCTTCCCTCCACGGCTGTAGGATAAGAAACTAAAACTCCTTAGACGTGTTTTACTTTGCTGCGGCCCAAAGTCATTTAAGGTGCATTATGCTACTGAATATGCTAGAGGCTGGAATTAACGTGCAACATGCCACTGAATGTGCAAACAGCAATGCCATTAAAGTGGTGCAAAAGACATTTAACCGCTTTAAACCCACTTTAAAGTGTCATCTACAAATGCCCTTGTAAACCCTTTTCATGCCCCCTTTCATGTCAAGTGTCTCTTTTCTAAACTGAACAGGCCTAGTCTTTTTAGTTTCTCCTTATGTGGAAGGCCCTCCATACCACTAACCATGCTTGTTGCTCTTCTCTATACCTTCTTTAGTTCTTCTATATCCGTTTGGAGGTGTGGGGACAAAACTGGGCAGAGTATTCAAGGATGCACCATAAAGGGTCATGATGCTTTCTGTTTTGTCTAAAGTTCCCCTCTAAATATTTCCTAACATTTAATTTACCTTTTAACAGCTGCTGAGCACTGAGCAGATGTTTTCGGTGAAGTGCCCACAATGACTCCCAGATCCGTTTTCTATGTTTTGTGTGTAGTAACAGCTAACTTAGAGCCCATCGTAGGGTAGGCATAGTTAGGATTATTTTTGCCCATCTACAACACTTTACACTTTGAATTTTATCTGCCATTTATTTGCCCATTCTTGAATGTAATTTGTTCTAGAATATAATTGAACTGAATGTATCTGGGGTTTGCATATTAAACAAAAATTTGGACACAAATGTTTCTTCTTGCCTGTTTCAGCTGATTCAACAGGAGAGCCCCTTCCAAACTTAATATGCATTTTTTATTATTTGTATTACAGAAGTGCTGAAATCACTCATGATCAGGGATTCTTCTGTACTATTTTCAGTCATTTAATTGCCAAATATTTTTAGTTTGATATTTTGCAATAGGTAAAATGATTATTAATACTTGGAATTATTTCACTTGTACAGTTGTTGTCCTTCCTTTGCATTTTGGTGGCCTTGCAATACTACAATTGATTTATTTTTTGCTTTCTTGTCTTATTTAGGAAATATGTTTGAGATTTCTGAATTAGAGCAAAGACTGTAAATGGCCTCCCATAATTTCACCTGCAGTTTAATAAATATATGCATAAAATCCCTCTCATATTTTGACACACTAAAACCTTACAGGATAGCACTAAATGAAAAGTGCTGAGCCTAAACCCAAAGGCCTTTTTATTGAGTGATATTTTCAGATAGCAGCTCTATCACAACACATGTTCACTCCACACTCTGACTCATCCCTTTCACAAACTTTTTTTTATATCCAATGGTAAACTCCATTGTAATGGGATTAGTCAACCACATGACCATCTTCACAATCACAATAATCACCCCTGTAGCTTTCTATTCACAATGAATCAGGATGCAGACATGTGCAATGAAGGTCAGGCTCAGCACAATCTTTGCCTAATCATTCTCCAGACCGGCCTCCAAGTAGCTGACCGCAGTGTGAGGAAACAGACCGACCGTTATTAATGATCTGACTTCATATGCTGTTAAAATGCAGAAAGTAACCAGCTTCCGTTTAAATACCTTTTGGGTTGACCATTTTTACTGTGGGGTCTTGGTTTTAGCACTGTTTTTTTTAAAACTTATTTTCGAAACTCATTTGGATATCTGAACAGTCTCAGTGGAGGCAAACAGACAACAAAGAAAGCAAACAGAACACTCCAGGCCTGAAAGTTTCCTGAACTTTTGAACTAAAGACTTGTGGAATATTAATTCTGAACCTCACGGCAATGGATTTCTGAAAGTTTATAGGGTTTACATGATTTATTAATAGAAAGATCTTCATTAGTGTTCCAGCATCCGCATTTCATTGCTGGGAATAATACATGAGGGCAAAATGGAATTTTTAACCTTTCCTTCAGAGAAGCACTGCTTTACTGAATTACTTGATTCCAGTAATGGAGAAGAAGAAAAAATGTTAGCATGTGAAGAAGATTTAGAGATTAATCCTTTTGACGGTTTGCCATATTCTTCCCATTATTATGAACTTCTGAAAGAAAGAGAAGAACTTCCAATATGGAAAGTAAAATATGCTTTCATGGAAATTCTGCTTCATAATCAAATTGTGATTGTATCAGGAGATGCTAAAAGTGGCAAGAGCTCCCAGGTGGGTATTAGAGAATATTTACATGTTCTGGTTACTTAATTTAATTTCTTGAATCTTTAACATTGAGTATATTTTTCAAAAGCAAATGTCCTCCTTTTATAAATAGTATGATAAATTATTAAAACAGAAATAATTATTTTAATTTACTGTTCATTATTCTTGCTGCTGTTTTTATATTTGTTGCAAAGATTTAGTGTTATGCTGTGATCCAGAGGCTTCTGGCAATACAGGGCCCGATTGTTTTGTGTATTGTACGTAATGGTTCTGTTAAATGTCCCTTGCCCTAAGGAGTTTAGTAAACCATAACAGTGGATCCTTTCAGGCATGTAGCGTTCTGTTGACCTTAGTGATGTTCTGGGTGGGCACACAGACCCACACATTACAACATGAAAGATTGGGGCCTAAGCAGAATAGGGAAATATGAATGGTCAAAGGAGAGTAATATGATCAGATACATTTGTATATGCAATTTGTATATTTGTAGTACTTTTTTCCTGATATTCTCTTTCCTGACAGCCATTTTAATTAGATTATGTCTTATAAGTAGTGGGATAAAGACAAATATTGAAGAGTTTCAGCCACTGAATTTCTTTCAGTATGCAATAATTAAAAAGTACCCAAAACAAGAAGTTAAAGGTACTGTGTAGAGAAACATCAGACTCTTATTAATATACTCTCTGAAGAATATCTATGTCCTTATCACATCGTAAGAATCCTGCACTAAATACTCAGAAATGTCTCCTTAGAAAATTCTATAAAGTACTGGTGATTCTATCAGTATGTATATCATATTTTTCTCTTTTACTTGCATGGAATAGCCATCTGTTAGTTCAAGTTACATAATCTGTTAACTCCTCTCTAGTCTAACCTAAACATTTCTCCGTCAGAAAATGTGGCCATCATAGCATGCCTTACTTCCAGGTTCCTAATAAATATATTGAACAGTAACCGCCTTTTTTGTGCTATTCCACAGGACATCCAGCTATTAATTTCTTTCTGTTTGGCTATGCGGCAGGTCTGGCCCCCTGCTGCCTGGGCTGTCTGGGTGCAATTTACGGGCCGGTTAGCATTTACACATGCATTTAGGCACAATTATTTTTACATTTCTACAACAGTTCTATCTTATGGTGGCAAAAATTAGTTTGCTGCAGTCTAATAGTGTTGCACGTATAGACTGTAACACTTTACACCATAGCAAATTAGTCTACTGCACAGTTAATCACATGTGTAGATGCACCTACTATACAAATCCTTGCCACTTGAGTTAAGAGTGTCATCAAGAGCAGCAGTACATCATCAATCCACAGGCAGATCAGGACCAGAGAGAATGGGACACACTTCACCAGTAGATTTCATAGATATTTGCTGCCAGCAGAGAATAGTTGGACTTAAGACTCTTGGATCCCATTTCAGGCTCTAGAAGTGACTCAGGCTTAAGTGATAACAGACTTTTCTGCTTGTTTCTCCAAGGCTTGGGCTCTTCTGCCTTTGCTGTGTCCCATCTTCCCTGCCACTGATTTTTGTCCACCCTGAGTCCTCCATTTTCAATCTTGCCTCAGTTCCAGCCCTTTCCCTTGCTTACATTCAGCTACAGTCTCCTCAACCCAGCACAGGGTAGTTTCTTCTACTCCTGCCCCTAGTTTTTGTAGTATCATTTACAATCAAATCCTACTTTTCCCCCTTCCAATCATTCTCTCCTCCCTGCTGTGGCTTTTAGTCTTCTTCTCCAGGCTCCTCAAGTAATCAGTTTCCCCTCCATTTTCATCCCCAGATTCTTAGGTTAGGCTTTTTTGCACAGCCAATCCTAGATCTCCATCCCACCCTAGCTCCTTGTCAGATCTGCCTTCTTTATTCTGTCCCTTTACTGATTCCTAGTCTGAGTTTATTCATCCCTACACTCCGCCACTTTATCATTTGACAGATTTTAGGTCTTGGTCTGGACATTTATCTAGGTGGATAATTTCTATTTAAGATGCCCTTCAGTGCTCAGTAGTCAGGTTAATAAGCAACAGATGCTCAAATGGTATAGGTATTATAATATAAATACTGGATTGCAAGCTCAGTTTATTATAATAGTTACTAAAAATGTTACATAAAGAATTTGTTTCTCCTCTTTGTTTTAAAGATTCCTCAGTGGTGTGCTGAGTATTGCCTTTCTGTCCGGTGTCAATATGGAGGGGTAGTCTGCACACAGGTGCACAAGCAGACAGCAGTCTGGTTGGCACTACATGTAGCTGATGAGATGGATGTCAACCTTGGCCATGAAGTGGGTTATGTCATCCCATTTGAAAGCTGCTGCACCACTGAAACAATCCTGAGGTTTGTGTAATTGTTAATCCCTCTAACAGTATGCTACAGTTGTTTCTTCCAATGAAGCACCAGAAGTCAAAACCTGGAGTGGTGAAATCTTAGCTACTTACCATGCCACAGCATTTTTAAGGAGTGGACAAAGAAGAATATAAGAACATAAGAACTGCCAATTATTAGTATCCTGTGTTACAGTGGCAGAGTAGATACTGAAAAGGAGAGTGAACAGGGTATGACCAGGGTTTTCCCCTTTTACTTTCCCATTTTCAGCCTTCAGCATTTAAGGTCTTAGAAAGATCTGATTCAGAGGTTGTACCCCTAACTCCTGTGTTTGGGAGAATTTGTCCAATTTTGAATCTGCTAAACTGTCAGTTTCCACAATATCTTGTGGCAGTGAGATCCTCACTTGAATTACACACTGCGTGAAAAAGAATTTCCTTTTGTTTGTTTAAATATACTAATTGGCTGGTCATACATAGGGGTAGGAATACAAAAAACCCCATAAAACTCTATCATGAAGAAATGAAGCAAAGAAAATACCATTATATTAAAAGCAGTAATATTTACACACATGATAATGAGAAAAAAAAGATGGGTGGTAAAGGATACTTGGTAACATGGGGAAAGCTGAATTTGGAGAAGGGGTTTCAGATAAAGCAAGAAAATATGTTAACTATATACAGGCTTTAATAACACAATTTAGATTTTGATTTTGAACTACCACAAAGTTTGGGGAGTTTTTACTAGGGAGCTCCATTCGTTTCCCTGATAAAATAGCAACAATATGTAAAATGGAGATCTTGATTCATGCTCTCTGCCACCACCATTCCTAGTAATGTCTGTGGGTGCTCAGTATTTCCAAAACCAGACCTATGAGGACAAGTGCTTAGCTGTTTAACTTGGGTCTCCTTTCCTCACCATCTGTAATTGTGTAATACTCCTTTTGTACAGCACCTTCCTGAAGTTGTGTAGGCAGGCTGCTTTAGATCTTCTTCATGGAAATTACATGGTAACAGATACTGAGTCATATTCCAGAAGTTGTCACATCACATATGTAAAAACCTGATCCAAGAAGTATCACAAAGTCTCCTCAAAACTGTGAACTATTGTAAAAGAAACTGGTTGAAAAGACTCTGAATAGTATAAAAAATCTGAATTAGCTTGATACTGACACATTTTGTAGTCATGCATCAATTTCCTCATCTAATATGGGAACAATAATACCAACACTTACCTCAAAGATGATATAATGATTAATTACTGTAAACAAGGTGCATAAGGATTTTGAAAGATGAAAAACAATGTGAGTTTTATGATTTTATGTGACAAAATATTCTGGTTTTTGTCTACAGTGTCTTTTCAAGAGAATTGTAACCAGATATTGTAGTTTAGGTTAAGTAACTTGAATGTTTATAACCTTACTCAGTTAGATTTAGAAAAACATCTTATCACAGCCTCACACAAACTAGAATTACCAAACAGAGGAGGAGCATGAAGTAGCTTCTTTCAGATAAACTTAATATTCAAAAATAAATGTTGGTTTATTTTTATATAAATGTTTTATATTTTACAGATACTGTACAGATGACATGTTACAAAGAGAAATGATGTCCATTCCTCTTTTGAGCAGCTATGGAGTCGTCATATTAGATGATGTTCATGAAAGAACAGTTCCAACAGATGTATTAATTGGACTTCTTAAAGGTGTTTTGCTATCAAGACCAGAGCTGAAGCTGGTAATCATTACAGCCCCTCATATGTCCAGCAAACTTCAAGACTATTACAGTAGTGCCCCCCTCATAAGGGTGGAAAACAAACATCACGTAGATGTTGTATACACTTGTACCATTCAAAAAGACCATTTTCTCTCTGCTTTAAGACTGCTCTTTGAGATACATCATACCAAAGAAAGGGGTGATATTGTGGTCTTTCTGGCATGTGAACAAGTAAGTTATTAAATTATTCAAACATCTTTAATGTGAAATGAAACAATCCAGATGTTCTTTAAATTAACTGTAACAATCCTGTTGCTATGATTTAGCTAAGACACTGCATGTTGCCATAGATACTTCTACCATTAAATTTCTATTTCATACCCGATTCTTTGTAGGCCTTGTAAAGTGCTGTATATTCTCTTTGGTGCATGGTATAAAACATAGCAAAAATAGGCAAACTAGGGCCTAAAACCAGAGATGTGGGAGGACATGAGGGTGAATCTCTTGCATACTAGTGTTAGACACTATGGAGGATCCTCTGATACCATTCCATGTAAGAGCAACTTGGCAATAGCAGTAGTTGGGGGCACAAAAAAAAGACAGTAGAAAGCTGTTCTCATAAGAATTTAAGAACTGCCATTTACTATCTCACAATAAGGGAGAGAGAACAGAGTATGGATCAGGGTTTTACTCCTGTTCCTCTTCCACTTGCAGCCTCCAGCATTTAAAATCTAGGAAGTTCTTATTCAGAGACTATGCCGTTAACTGCAATGCTCTCTATAGCAAGGTCCCCACCAACCATAACCTGGGAAGCAAGCTGTCAAGAGATAGGGAGACCAGGGTGTCGCTTCCACTCTTTGTTCCAGATCCAGGATCCTGGCAATCCTGGTACAGGCATGCAACTCCATGGTAGCCCCATCACAAAGACTACCCCAAAAGTCAGTGAGCCCCTGGTTTCCAGACTCTGAGGTCAGTATATGTTTTATCATCCTAGCAGTTGCTGGTTGAAAGTGGTTGCTGCTGAACTGACAGCTGCTCTGATTGTAATTATAAGTATAGTTGGCAGCCCTGTTTACTAAACGAAGAAACCAATTTTGTGCTAGTCTTTTAAATTTTTATTTATATATTTTTTGCTTTTCCAAAGCAACAAGTCAAGGCTCAAAATGGCACAACTATGGCGATGTATATCCTATATCAACTATACTGGAAATTATTGGATAATCTGCTTGCTTCCCAGGTTGCTTCCCAGATTATGGTTGGTGGCTAATGTTAGAGGCCAGCTGGCTGGTGAGTCTTAAATTTTGCTTGCTAGGCTTACATGGAAATTGGGGAACCTGGAAGCACCAGTCTCAGATATGCTGGTGCCAAATATAAGTAACATGTCCATCTTTGCAGAAGGACAGGACCAGTGGGTGGATCCTAACTTATGTGCCTTTTAGTTCATTGTGACTATGGCTGAGAAATTTAGTCATGGAGAAAAGTGAAAATGAAAATTATTCATTAATATACACTAATGATTAGTTATTAAGTCATATTTTTGTGCTTCCAACAGTTTCATGAAAATCATGGTCATGCATTGCATTGAATGGTTTAATTTAGCTTCCTCCTTTTCCTAACATCTATAAATGTATTTGGCTGGCTCTAGGATATTGCCTTTTCCTTTGTACACAGTTATTTTTCACATTCAGATATTAGTAAGTCCCATTAAAAGTTATTCAAGTTTATCAATTTGACATTCCCTTCAGTTGCTGCCCTGTGTCTCAGTTGCTGACCTCTTCCTTTCATTGCCTTCAAAACCTACAGTAAAACTGTTGAATCCATGTCAGAAACTTCTCTTTTACAACCCCTACCAACACAGAGTGTTATCCTGCCCTGGAGTATTGTATTTGCTCCTTTGAAGGGAATGGGAGTTTTGCCACTAAATTAATTTTTACCAGGAGTCCATGCCCAGATTTCTCACAAGAAATTAAATAGTTCCTGGTGTATCCGACATATCTATCAATCTAAAATGTCTGTCAGTCAAACCCAGCTTGATATCTTTTGCCTCATATGACTCATTTTAAGTTTCAGAATGGTTATTTTAAATGAAAAAAAAATAGCATTTTTCCTTATCTTCCTGAAAGAAAGGTTTTGCTGTGCTGGCTGCAGCAAAAGGGACTGAATTCTTCATTATAGATAATAACAACTTTGTACAGGACCATATAAATTAATACAACCTACTCTGTAGTATAGTTTTCATGAAGAGTCCACACAGAGATGGTTGTACACAACTCTATTAATAATAATGCTCAGTACATCTAGATGCTATGTATCATCAAAAGGATTTACAACATTAACTAATGCATTTTTACAGCAAAGAAAAGCACTAATATTTCCTTCCTAACAGAGATAACATGTCTTCTTCATGCTCTAGTCCACCTGTAATGAATTATTACATCATAATTCACATCCTGTCAGGTCCTATTATGTAATTGAAATTTAAGGTTTGAGGTTTTATTCATGGGTTTTAGTTTCTTATCACTTAACTGTCTTGTAACCTGACCAAAGAGATAAATAAATAAAGTTGAAAGTTCAGAGATAAATAAATTAAATAGATGCTAGCTAGTTGGGTTTGTGAGCTACCCATAGTGTCACAAATTATATACAGGCATACCTCGGAGATATTGCAGGTTCGGTTCCAGACCACCGCAATAAAGCGAATATCGCAATAAAGTGAGTCGCATGAGTTTTTTGGTTTCCCAGTGCATATAAAAGTTATGTTTACACTATACTGTAGTCTATTAAGTGTGCAATAGCATTATGTCTAAAAAAACAATGTACATAACTTAATTAAAAAATACTTTATTGCTAAAAAATGCTAACCATCATCTGAGCCTTCAGCAAGTCGTAATCTTTTTGCTGGTGGAGGGTCTTGCCTCGATGTTGATGGCTGCTGACTGATCAGGGTGGTGGTTGCTGAAGGTTGGGGTGGCTGTGGCAATTTCTTAAAATAGGACAACAATGAAGGTTGCCACAAACCTTCAATTTGTAAAAAACGCAATATCTGCGAAGCACAATAAAGTGAAGCGCAATAAAACGAGGTATGCCTGTACTACTGGAGCATTTTTACAGAAGTATCTTGTCAACATTGTGATACTATTTCTGTTTATGCTACAGGTTGACAACCTCACAGTAAAGTACAAATAAGCACTCATAGCATACGTGTAATTTTCTAAATAGCACAATGCAACCATACCATATAACACAGTACCTAAGCTCCCCTGTTTTGGAAAATACTACGACTGTAAACACTGGGCTTGGGTTACTGGTTCAACTGAAAAGAAAAGAAATATGTAAATGGATTTGGATAATACACTTCCCTAATACCATACTTCCTGATATCCAATTTAGGTTTTGGTTTAGGCTTGCATATATTTAAGCTCAAAGGCTTATTTCTCTTTAAATGAAAAAAATTCAAAAGGAATACTTTACAGCTTTATGCCAAGGGATCAGGTGGGACACTAGTTCTGTGATGTTGTTGTTGTTATTACGATTATTATTAATAAGAACTCATTTTTAAAGTGTTTCTGTGGTCACTGCACTTGAAGTTTCAGTACTTTTGTGCTCCCTTTTGAATGAAAACTTTAAAAGTACGTAGTCTTTGAAACATGTAAATGGCATTGGCCGGTTGCCAAAAATGGCTTTCCTTGGATGAAGTTCATTTGGGCCTGCTGACTTAAACATGTCCAGCCCCTCTAAATGCCCTTTCACTAGGTCAGTGCTAACTCTGGGTGGACTGGACTCCCTCTTGTGCCTGTCTATAGCCCCTTTGGGAGATATGTCTTTATCCATATTTAGGAATACAGATGCACAGAACTCGTTCAGGAGCTCAGCTTTGTCCCTCCTTTGAGCTCAGCTTTGTACCCCTTTCCAAGTATGTATCATACATACTCAGAAAGTTTACCACTGGCCTTATGCAGCGATGAATACAGGATCTATAATACAGAGCCGTTCATAAGGTTTGGAGTCCATATTCAGCCATTCAGCTCCAAGACCCGCTCTAATTAAAGTGCCCACAGCTTCATGTGTATTCAGCATCCCATACTTCAAAATGGCGGTGGGGACACTTTAACTAAAGCTCAGTTGATGAGCTTTAGTTAAAGCACCCCCACCGCCATTTTGAAGCACAGGGATGCTGAATAAATGTGATGCAGAGGCTGCTGGAGCATGCTAATTAGCACACTCCCAGAGATTCGATTAATCAGGTCTGCTCCAATGTGTGCTAATTAGCAGGTGTTGAAGCAGATGTCCAGCATGTGTGTAGGTGCCCCTAGTGTCTAATTTCTCAGACTTTCTCTTTAAATAGTATTTGGATGTTTTGTAATGGAGACAAGTAATTATCTTCACTCAGAGGTTGGTTCAGATATCATTAAATGTCAAGCTGACAAGGTACACTTAAAAAATTACATGAAAGAAAGATACACTTTGAAAAAAGCACAACCTCTCTCAAACTATTGGAAAACAGATTTTTTTTCAAATGCTACATAACATTGCTCCTGTGCACTAAATTCTCTCACATACTTCTGTTCCATTTTCTTTTCTCTTTTAATGTATTCATGCAGATGTATTTGCTACCATGGTGTGATAAAATTAAGATACCTCTTTTGATTGTAGGAAATTGAAAAAGCCTACCAAATCATCAGGCAAGAGGGGTCTAATTTAAATCCTGATCTTGGAGAATTGGTCCCAGTTACTTTATATCCCAGACAAAAAGAAGTAATTTTCAAAGAAAATGAAGATGAAGAAAAATGTTGCAAAAATTACAAAAGAAAAGTGCTACTAACCACAAGTTTTGGAGAATCTTTGGTTTGGATCAAGACTGCAACTTTTGTCATCGATGTTGGTGTGGAGAGAAGAAAGGTTTGTGAAAAAAATGAAATCAGTAGATACATTTTCATAGTGGCCACAGTAGACAAAACTAGCCTACGATCAATGCTCTTAAACTGCAGCAAGGGAAATTTAGGTTGGATATTAGAAAGAACTCTCTGTTACTCTGAGGATGTTAAAGCATTGGAACAGACTACTTAAGAGAACAGGAATCTCTGTCCTTGGATGATTTTAAGACCAGGTTAGAAAAACATTTGACTGATGGTTTTATCAGGGATGAATATGCTTTGAGCAGGGAGTTGGACTAGACAACCTCCTGAGATTCTTTCCAGCCCTATTTTTATGATTCTAGGAGTAAGCCAATAATGACATATTTCTAGAATATAGCTCAGCATCTTATCTGTTAATAAAATAGTAGGTGTCTTGATGCAAATAAATTCTTAAGGCATCAGAATTTTTTTTCAGAAGTAGCTCGTCAATATTAATCTGTAAAAAAAATGGGAAGATTTATTAAACTATACTTCTTTCAATTTGAAAATGCCAAATCAGTTATTATCTTTCAGCTTTCAAATGGCCAAAACTAATAAAACTATTTTGTAGCTATCTCATGTGAAAAAAAGTAAAAGCAAATAATTTCCCTTAATTCAGCAAACAAGTACAATTTTCAGAGGCCCCTTAAGTTAGACTAAATTTTCATATAAAACATTAGCACCCATTTGTATGCACTCCAAAACCTATCCTGTGTTCTTCATTATGGACTAACATTTTCACTTTAATTCCCCTAACCTGGTTATAATTGTCACCTGAGTATAAGTATGAATTAGGCAAAACTGTGGAAGTATTTCCAGATATGATTACCGGGAATGCTAAGATGGCGACTACTTGATTAGTCCAGAAATCTAGAAGAATGTGACTGATCTTCCATGACCCCATGCAGAAGTCACTGCTAAATCTGGGTCTCCCCCACATAGTGAGCATTCATCTTTATGTATACAATATATACAGCATACATAATACAATAGAGCTTCGGAATTGGTCAGTACCACAAGATGGTTAATTTTTAAAGTGCCTATTCAGTATTTTCTGTTGTGTTTTCTTTCCTGGAAGGACTGGTTCAGCAGCAAACTTGGATTTCTGACTCATGTTTCTAGAATGGATGTGGTGATGGTACTGAGGAGTATTAGAGTTAAGTGGGTGGATGGTAACTTGCTACATAATATACAAAGTTGTAGTATTGGAAGTCTTGTGACTGGCTGTTCATCTGTTTGGGTAGCTGGAAGAAGCAGGCTAGAATCGTGGATGTTGGAAAGAGGATCAGAACAGGAGGAAATGGAAAGTAATTAAGTAATTAAATAATAAATAAGATGAGGTTGCCCAAAAAGAAATGGACATGTCCAGTGGTGAATTGGGGGGGAAGGGGAGGATGCAGTGGTGCAGTTGCATTACCCATCCTTTGATTCCTAGACCATGCACAGTTTAAAACCAACTGCCTGGCAGTGACAGAAACTTTTCTATTCAAGCAGTGAGGGAGTCAATTGATTTAATGGGTCATTATAATCTATCAGATTCCTTCTAAACTCTTCATTCCACAGGTATTAATGATGCCCTCTCCTTTGTAATGGGCTTCATATTTTATTCATCAAGCTAGCCTTACTTCTGCAATTCTGATGTTTGTTAGGTGCTCCTGGCAGGCTAGCTCCTATCTCACAGCTCTGCAGACTGGTTTTAACTCTAGCTAAAACAATAACTCAGGTGTGGAAATGTTAACTCAGGTGAATATTAACTCAGGTATGGAAATAACTTTCAGTAGGTGCATATACACATAAAATTAATAAAATTAACATGATGCAATAAACTCTGGGGCAGTTTGAGCCAGAGTCAGCTGCTCCTGGGTGCAGCATCTACATGTGCATCTGGGACAGCAGCAGTTTGAGCTGAAGCAGAGTAGGCCAGAGCTGGCAGAAGGCTTGCAGGGTCAGTCCCAGGCTCTGGGTGGTAGTGTCAGGCGGTGGAGGGTGCTAAAGTGCTAAAGTGAAGAGCTGTGCAGCAGGCAGCCCACACGTTTTAGCACCCGCATACCCCAGCCAGCCCCCATCACCATTTATATGTGTGTTTTGTCACACTTATTTACTCTGCTGTAAGATAGTACTGTTCCTGACCATGAATGCTGTGTGGAAAAATATAGCCCTAGACTCCTAGCATATTAGTATATCCTCTAGTTTTCTTTTTAACTGGACAAAAATGTGTTGTATTATATCTGATGATATATCACACCATCTACATCTCCCTTTTCAAAATCCTAGATCCACCCATGAACATTTCATAGTAGCTATGGGACATCAGCCTCTTTCTTTGATAAAAGTGAGAGGGACCAATTGTTAGCAAAACAGGGGGGTGATAATGCTCGTGTACCATTTTTTCTGTTTACACTTTATGCACCAGACTGATTACTTTCAGTGAAACACAGGCCCAAATTTTTAACAGAGCAACACATTATTATCTGACAATGTTGTAGCTCCACCATTGAAAGAAGCAAAAAAATAGTCCACTCCTCTTACAGTGCTTTTCCATAGGTGGTATGAGGCTACATTCTTTGCTTTAGAAAGGTGCATTGCCTTCAGGAAATGACTTGGAGACCTTTATCAAAACTACATATAATTTGACTGTGTCTTGTCAATTTATCAAAGAGAGGTCATTCTTATTTCATGACAGGTAAAACAACAGATTGCATGGAAAGGGAACTAAACATTTTACGAAAGCCAAACATTTAATGAAATTACCAAATAAATTACCAAATAAAAAAGCTTTGCAGAACCACTTGTATTTGCAGTCTTCATTTTTCTGATGCTTAATTTCTTTCTTTCCATTTAAAGGTTCATAATCCTAGAATCAGAGCAGACTCTATAATAATGCAACCCATCAGTAAAAGCCAAGCAGAGATGCGCAAGCAAATTCTGGGCACATCTTCATCAGGTAGGCTTATTGGCACAAAATGAAATGATGAAATGCATATACGCAATTAAAAAGTGTGATTGTTTTCTGAATTCTCTTCAGGAAAGTTATTCTGCTTGTACCCTGAAGAATTTACATACAAGGAAATGAAACCACACCCGCAAGCCAAAATACAGGAATCCAATCTCACTAGCATGGTTCTTTTTCTGAAGAGGATGGCTATAGCAGGCTTGAGCCATTGTGACTTCATAAATAGGCCAGGTATAGCTCAATATTGCAATTTTCCATCTGTCTTATTACATTTGCTGTTATGTTTTCTTTTAAGATTAATTTTACTTTTCACCGTTATTCACACTGCTGGTTTTAACAAATATGGGTTCCCCATCTCTTCTATTGAATTTTGTGGAGCAATTTACCTTTGATAATGAAACCTTTGCTGAGTGTAATAGTTTCATTTATAAAAATGGTTGCAAGTGGTGGATTGCTTGCTCTGAGAAGGAAAAAATCCAAGGAAAAGAAAATGAATTGTATAGCCAAAATCGGTATTCAAAACACATCCTCTCATTTAGGCTCATTTTTTGTACCACAGAAGTGATTAGAGGCCCTGACAAAAACTGAAGTTCTCTGTATAAGGTGTATATGCATTGTATATATGCATAGCAAGAGATGTTTCTTGACTCAGGGAGAGGACAATGTAAACAGAAAGTAGAGCTTATCAGTAGATAAGTTTGTGAGTGGACAGTTTTGTCCTCACTTCTTATACTTAAGAGGACAGTTACCTGAACATTGATGTCAATCTTTATTTAAGAAAAATATGATACTAAAACCAAAAAATGACTTTTAACCTTAAAGAGGGACCCTCAAACCACTCTTCCAATACTGAACATAATGCTTCCAATTCTGTTCTTTCCTTCAGTTTTTCCCACCTTACATAATATATGGGCTCTACTATTTTAACGGGATTATTAAAAAGTATCATGTTATCTACAGAAAAACACTAGAAGAACCTACTCCTGATAACCTTTTAACATGTTTAGTCAATTTGTCTCTACTGATAAATCTTTCTTCACTGCTGGCTAGGGTAATAGAGAAAGGGTTTTTTTCCTTTGGTTTTACATGAAAACAAACTTGCTGTAGAAAGAAGCACGGGATAACAGTATGGAGTGTTAGCTCTATTGCATTTGTCCTTGCATAGTTAATACAGTTTAAATAGATAGCAGTATAGCACCATCGCCCTCATCATATGAAAGACCTCTTTTTGATAGCCCTTTCTTCATACGAGCTCAGTTGTGCTATAGACAAATGAACAATGAAATTGCAAGTTTTAACACCAGTGTTCACTGCCCTGAGGTACCAAAGATATTCCTACATGTTTTAATTCGCACTAGAACTAGAGCAAGAAGAGAGTTTTTGGATGTGAACCCAGATAAGTTTTGGGTTAGGATATGAAATTTAGGCTGTGAGACACTGCAATTCCATCAATTGTTCTTAGGGATGCTCAGCAAACAGTGAAAATATTACCACTTCACAACTGTAATCTAATTTCTTGAAGGAAATTCTCCCTATGTGAGATGATCAGCCTCCTATCTCTGTAAATCTGCTCTATGTTACCCTTTTTTTTTTTTTAACCCGAGTCTTTTATATAAATCTTCTGAGCTTTGCTCTAAGGAAGGTAGTCATTCCCTTGATTAATCTGTTGCTGGATGTTTATCTTTATTGGTTATACTAGAGATTTTATTTAACCTCCTTTTTTGTCTTGTAGTTAGAGGCTAAATACAGTTTCCTTGTATATACGACAGATTTTGTAACACTTACTTCTCTCAGTGCTGGACTCCTGTGTACTCCTAACTCTGATCCAAAACCAATTTAAATTGGTAGGAGTCATCTTTCAGTTGACTTCAATAGATTTTGGATCTAGTCCTCTGTTACTAGGTACTTCCTTGCTAATTTCCCAGCATAAGGGAGGAAGGCTTTTGTCCTTACCGTAAATTTACATATTCATAACAGTAATCAATTAGACTTACATTTTTTTTTCACTGAATCCATAGGATAGAGGTAAATTCCTATTGCTGAATCCATAGGGTAGAGGTAAATTCCTATTGTTGAGTGCTGCAATAAGGAGCACAAAGAGTTTGTCTCCCCCAGGAAGTGATAGTAGACTAGGGCTGTCCAATTTCTATGCAGGTAGAGGCTGCATGCCATATGGGCCACACCAGTGGGGACCACACTAGTGCAAGCCACAGAACCCTAGACCATACCACACCTGCACCATGCATGTGGGCAGCCTCCTTGTGCCACTGCTGCACCATGCTGTAGGCTCCCCCCAACCCTGTGGGCTGTGCTGCTCCACCCCTGGGGTAGGAACAGGAAGTGAAAGTTGATGGGAGTGGAGAATGGA